ATAATCCAATTTGGTTTGTCATAAATTCCCTCAAGAACTATTTTATTTGTCAGTTTATTATAAACTTTTAATAGTTTGTCATCTAAGTAAATACTGAACCCCGCATCAGCCAGCTTTCTCAAAGATAATAAATTTTCGGATACATCTCCTGTTACAATTACATTTGTTAATTTAACGACTCTCTTTTCTCTTTCATTTACTGTTAACAAAAGATCTCCTTTACCATCTATTGAAATGTCTGCAAGCTCATTTTTATTCGCGCATTTAATGACTTTATTTTTATATCTTTCAAAATTTGACAGACCTATATCCTTATTTACAATATGATCCGTCGCACCCGTGTCTGCAATGAAATTTACTACCTCTTTTGAATTATTTTTATCTTCTATTAATTTAATCATGCATAATTTACCTTCTTTTGTTGTTTTTGTTGATGTGGGTTTCTTAGCTTTTGTATCTTAGCTATCTTCCCCTTGTTGTTTACTCTTTTAGTACCTCTCTGTTCAAATGTACTCTTTTTCTTTATATTTGTATTAACGGTTTTATTGAAATACCTTTTTCCTCTAGTTCTGTTCGCCTGGGCTCCGGCATTGGGACAACTGTCACCTTTGTGTCCTCGCACCTCCTGGCAATAGTAACAGAACTAGGCCCCTGATTCCGTGAATGGGCACTCCTTTGCCATATGGCCCATCTTGTTACATCTATGGCACTTTATTGGCTTCGCTTCTTCCTCTGCGGTAGCCCTCTGCACTCTAGCCTCTATTTTCTCTTCCTTCTCTTTATTTATACTCTTGGTCTCTGCCTCTAACTGCATCATAAAAATTTTTATTTCATCTATGTTCATTTCTTTAAGATTTGTTTGTTTTCTAATTAAATCTACATTCCTCAGCTCCGGTACATTAATTGACACGGCCTGATAGAATGCAGATCTAATCTCTTGTTCTGCAAGAGGTACAGCATCTTCACATGACTCATATTCTCTAATTATTGAATCGAAGCGTTCGCAGAAATCACTCACTTTTTTATCTTTTCTCATTTTAATTTGATACAGTCTAGATCTTACCGATGCATGAGTGACGTTTATCTCACTCTTTTTATACCCTCTTAATTTCTTTAGGATTTCTGACGGATCTTTTTCATGTAGGATTCTTTTATGATAGTTTTCATCCAAGTGATTTATTATTATATCTCTAACTAAACTTTTCCTTCTAACAAGCTTTAATTCGGATAGATTTTCCGGACTTGCAATATTTGAATCTATTACATCTAATAAATCGTTATTCATCAATTCAGATTTTAAATAGTCCGTCCAAAGATCAAAGTTGGATTTCTGCGTCAGCTTATATTTTCTTCTAATGTGTAACCTTTGGCTGTTTAGTTCCACCTCCATCGCGTTTTTAATTGTCTCTAAACTTCTATCTTTTTCGGCTGAACAGACATTTATTTCATCTAACTTTCTCTTTTTAGACTCTACTTCTAATGCTTTAACCGATTTTATATTATTTTCTGCTGAATTTTGTGTATTTCTGTTATTTACCTCTAGACGTCTAAGTTTCAGTCTTTCTTTCTCTAAGTTTGCCATGGTTACCTCCACCATATTTTCCATCATGGAATTGGCTTTGGTCATGACCTTTTCCAGAGTTTTCAGTGCCACCTCCAGCTTTCCTGACACCGCATCCATCTTCTTTACTAATTTTTCCTGCTTCTCATACAGGATTCTGCTTCCGATGGGCAGTATAGGGCGATCTTCCACCCATGCTCTGGTTAAAGTCACGTCTTCTATAATTTTCGGCGTTTCTTTTGGAATCGCGCCCCTTCCTCCAATCTCCTTCTTTTTCTCTTTTTCTTCTTCTACACGAAGTTTTACACATGTATATTATTCTTTTAAATGACTTCATTATAAAAAAAATTCTCTTACCTTTACCTCTTTCTTTCTCTATTACTGTGACTACGCTATCATCACTATCGTAGTCAACCAAGGCGTCTTGACTTTCCTCCTCTATCGAAAGATTTTCTGTCTCTTTTTCCATCTAGATCGGGATTTAAATATCAATTGAACATTAGCATTGCTCTTTTGACAAGATAAACCAATCATCATATTGACAACTAGTAATTCACAATCCTTATCACCAAGATTTTCCCGGCGATAAATATTCGGCGCTTATGAGGTTATATAGAACGCACTGCAATTCACAATAACCCCAAAGCAAGAAAAACAACGTGCCTCTGCAGGGCTATCCGCACGTGCACACCACTCTCCGTTGCGAACCCCAGCACTGCTGTAAGGATCTATGGGAGCTCGGGTTGATCATGCACGCGCACGGGGCCCGTACAGATTTGCGCGGCTTTCCTCAACAGTAATCAAACTACACCGCACAGCTAGTCATGCTCGATCACCGACCCGATACATAACGATTTCAACCCACATACGCATACACATGCGTCTATGTGTGTATCGTACTATCGCATCGATGCTATATTGTCAGTTGAAATCTATCATGTGTTCGTGCGCGCCCAGCAACAAGTCCCGCGCGCCAAAACAAAAGACTGTTGCCGTACACGTTCGGACTTGCACGCACATGTCGCCGGCCTGTTACCAAGCGGCATCTCTCTATCTCTTTCTATCGTGTCTAATCTCTTTCTTCTTCATCACTCTCTACTTTTCTATTATACTCTATACATTTATTCTTTAATCCTCTTGTTACCGCTATTACTTCTGTCTCTATTTATCTCCTTCTAACAGCACTTGTCGACTGTCGTTCTTATAGGCTGAGAATTCTCTCGTTTTGCTCGTCAGCTACGAGAGATATTATTCACTTACCCTCTAATCTTCTAGATGCTCTTTCTTTTCTCTAATGCCCTTTACCGTCGTCTCACGCACAAAACTTCTCCTTCGCGCACAAGGCCCGACCGGATTTACGCGATGGAAGCGTGCCCTGGGCCCATAACCTATTGGAAGTAATTCCGTGGACGGCTTCCGTACGCAGTGAGATGGGCAGTAGGATAGATAAGTCGACTGTCTTTGTGAACTCTATATATAATTTCGTACACTGCACACTTTCTGACACACTGGACTCGCGGGTATCGCTACCACGATAGCACAGGCTCAAGTGTGGTCTAGAACCTCGCACGACCGTGTGGTGCGCTTCCAGTCGCACCACCACACCGGTACTGCCCTCTCTGAGGGCGGGAGCACATCGCTCGTTCAAAGTCCATTTCTTAATAAGATGTCAGTGGTAACCTCCTGCACATGATACGCGGTGGGTTATGAGATTAATCATCAGAACTGAAAGAATGTATAAAGTAAAATAAATACAATTATATGTGTAAAAAATGTGTGCAGTAGCTTTATGGTACTCACACGTCACCACACTGTTTCTTGCACGATACAGTTTCATCTTGAGGAACGGATGGCGTATAACTGCTTCGATAAACATACGGTGTGTAACGACGATTGTTAAAACTGTTTGAAAAATACAATTAAATGTGGAAAATGGTAAAGGAAAATATACGATAACTTTGTAGTACTTACACGTTACGCTGTTTCTTGGTGGATGACATTTCCTGAGGAGTGTAATAATTCATTCTTGCTAAGGAAATCTTAAGGCCTATCAGGACACGAAGAAACTGGATGATAAATACTTCTTGTCTAACGATGCGTTCGTGGGTCCCAATGTATTCTTAGTTCTCGATCTCGTATAAAATCTCCTACTGTGGTACAGCGGGCTTCCGGACCGTTTATATACCATAAAAAGTCGCTGTCAGCAGCCAGGTTTAGGCGCTTGACCTCATGACTCATGCCATGGATGCGCGCAGCTGTGAGTCTGCGCTAATCATTTGTATATCGTCATCCCCCCGGTGATATCTATTACATGCACGCGCCGCGGATTGCCAAAGACTTTTGTCAGCAGCCAGGTTTCGGCGCTTGATCTCATACAATGGAAAATAATATTAATACGTGCAGCTGTGGTATCGGCGCTAATCAAAGGCATCTCCGGTGATATCTATTACATGCCGATACAGTAGACGGGAGTTTAAACGTGGAACTTCCTGGCATCACGTGCCTAGATAAGAAAGACTTTGTCAGCAGCCAGGTTTCGGTGCTTGACCCCATGACTCATAACAAGGAAAATAAGAATACGCGTCCAGGTGTTCGCGCTAATCAAAGTCATCCCGGTGAGATCTATTACATACACGCGCCGCGGATCGCCTCGCGCCGCGGACCTCCCCTTCCCCGCGTCGAGGGATCGCGTAGCGTCGCGGTCCTCCCCCTCCCCGCGCCCGCGCGGATCGCGTAGTGCTGCGGTCCTCTCCTCCCCGCGTCGCGGATCGCCGCGGAATATCTCCCTCCCCGCGCCTCCGCGGATAGCCAAACGCTGCGGAATAATAAACGCGGAACTCCTCGACATTGTTCACCTTGATTAGAAAGTCGTTGCCAGCAGCCAGGTTTCGGCGCTTGACCCGTGACTCATAACAAGGAAAATAAGAATACGCGTCCAGGTGTTCGCGCTAAAAAAGAAACGAATGACAGGTCAGCACCTAGATATCTGTTACATGTCACGTAGTGACAGGTCAGCACCTTGCGTGACGTCAAGGTCACGTAATCCCCCTCCCCCCCGCGACCCCCTTGCCATGGAGTACCCCCTCCCCGCTCCCCCTCGCCTGAGCCCCCTCCCCGCTCCCCCCTCGCCTGAGTTAGAATCCCCCTATATACCCTACTTACATTTCCGTACAACAAATGTTTCAAAGATAGCTGTTCGTAAAGAGTAAAAATACATATTCTTTATATTCTACAAAAACTTGTTTGATAATTACATATATAGGGTTTTTAATATAATAGGGTATCAAGGAGCGAAAGTGTGCGCAACGTGACGAAGGTTTTGTGGAGAATATTTAGGAAGGAAAGCTAAGGGGAAAGGTCGAGGGTTGAGAAGAGGAAAGCGGAGGAGGTGGAAAGAAGGAGAAAGTATGAAGAAGGAAGGAGGAGGAGAGACGGAGCGATGGAAAGGGCGGTGAAGGATTTGGTGAAGGAGATGAGAGAGCTGAGGCTGGGGGTGACGGAAGAGCTAAGAGAATTGAGGCTGGAGGTGAAGAGAGTGAGAGAAAGCTTGGAAGGAGAGGCAGCGGCAAGGAGAGAGGAGGAGGAAGAAGGAGAGTAAGAGCGAAGAGAGAGGAGAGCGAGGAGGGAACGGAAGGAATGGAAAGGGAGGAGAGGAGGAGAAGACAGAGGAAGCGGGGAAGAACAAGAAATTAGTACGGAAACTGTATATGTACGCGAGCGCCGCTTAAGGTGTAGGTGTAAGTAGTGTGTGTGTGTTAGGTGCAGAGAAAATATATGTCTGTCGAAAGCTTCGCTCTGTACGGGAACGCCCAAAAAATAAATTGTGTGAGCTTTTACTGCACCAAGGGGACATCATTCTCTCCCCTACAGAAGTTTGGCGCCCAACTACAGCAACAGAACCCAACAAGGAAAAAGCTGAAGCAAAACTAGGCAAGGAATCAGGCAGATCAACGGTGACGCCGCGAGCAAAAACAGCGGGTTTTGCACACATTGAGAAAACCGCAGAATCAATCGCAACAAAACGGCGAAGGTATTTTGCAAAAATAGTAGACAGATCGTAGGAACAGCAGTTCAGAAGCATCGAAAATCGAACCGAATCGGCGCGGGACTAGGCAGCTAACCTAAAAACTAACCTACCTACAAATAAAGATTGCATGCAACGTGGGGCTTGATTGTTACTGAGGATTAGAATTGTTACTGAGCAACAGTTTGATCGTCAACAACAGTTGGCAGGTAACAGTATAGTAGCGGCCACGGCAATACAGGTTAGTTTTCGCTATTTCAATTAATAATGGCAGAGCTTAAGATATTACAGCAACGTCGCACCATAATAAAGGGTCAGCTCACTCGAATAAATAATTCTCTCTCCGACGAGACGACAGGTCCGGACGCTCAAGTCAGACAAGGAAAGATCGAAGAGCTGTGGCATAAATTTGAAGAGATTCAAAAAGCAATAGAGGAGAATAGAATGAACGCGATCGACCCGGAAGGAGACCAAGAAGATCCCGAAGGAGCGATAACACAAGAAGCGGAAAAGGAAAGGGAGATGTTCGAGAGCACCTATTATGCAGCAGCAGCGAAAATCCAAAGGATAACACTGGCGGCACAAGCGCGACAGGAACCACAAAGACTCGAAGCGCAAATTGATAGGCTAAAGCAGGAGGATCAAAACCCGAGTATTAAGCTACCGACCTTGAAGTTGCCAGAATTTAAAGGAGAGTACGACGAATGGTTGCTCTTCAAAGATGCATACATATCAATGATTCATACTAACACTAGTATCGCAGCGATACAAAAGTTTCAATATTTGCGGAGCGCTCTTAAAGGAGAAGCGTTACAAGTTATCGGCGGACTAGAAATCTCAGCGGAGAATTACGTGAACGCGTGGGAATTACTTACGAAGAATTATGATAATAATAAACTTCTAATTAACACGCACATTAGTCAGTTATTGGATTTTCCAGTCGTGGCAAGAGACAAGCCTGCAACAATCAGACAGTTCGTTATGCACATACGAACACACTTGAAAGCGCTGAAGACGTTACAACTTCCAGTTGATCACTGGGATGAGCTTCTGATACACCTAACAAAAGGCAAGTTGGACTACAACACGCAGAAGGATTGGGAAGAAGAAACAAGTCGAGATAAAATAAATAGGAAAACGTTAGAGGATTATTTAACGTTTTTGAACGAACGTTGTCGCACTCTAGAGCTGCTCGATAAAGGAAAGGGCAAGCGCGACACATCGAAGCCAGCAACCTCAAAGAAACACGGCAATGCAGTATCTCTAGCGGCTACCACCCAACAACGCTGTTCGATTTGTACAGAATCTCACATGGTGTATAAGTGTCCGCAGTTCCTGCAGCTGGCAGTTACAGAAAGGATTCGAGAGGCAAAGGAAAAGAAGCTGTGTCTAAACTGTCTAGGAAAAGGTCATTATGCAACTAATTGCAGGGCATCAGCGTGCAGAAAATGCGAGAAGAAACATAACACGTTGCTACATCCAGTTTCAGAAGAGAAATCGTCGATAGCTCAATCGTCCAATGAAGATTCAGAAAAGAAAGTCATAGTGCATTGCGCAAGAAACGAAGCTATCAAGTCACCAGAAGAAGCAATCTCAGTTTCAAGCGTAGTACGAAAATCAACAACACAGGTAATACTATCAACGGCCGAAATTCAAGTAGCGGATGCCGAAAGAAAGTGGCAGAGGTGTCGGGTGCTCTTAGACCCAGGCTCACCGTCAAATCTGATTACAGCGGAACTCGTACGTAAGCTCAGTTTAAAGTGTAAAGAAGAATGCGAGAGTATCAGCGGCATTAATAGGTCACGGATGAGTGCTGCACGGAAAGTGACGGTAAAAATCAGATCAATGCATTCTGATTATGAAACTAATGTTGACTGTCTTGTTTTACAGAGCATTACTGAAAAAATACCGCAGGTGAAGATCAATGTCGACGCGGTAAGCATACCGAAAGGGTTGCTGATGGCGGATCCACGGTTTCACGAACCGGGTACCATTGATCTCCTTTTAGGAGCAGGATTATTCTGGCAATTAATATGTCCGGATTCGATCAAGCAAGTGAAAGGCTTACCGAGACTACAAAATACGCTATTAGGATGGATTGTAGGCGGAGAGCTCGTCGACACGAGAGATCGGAATTCATCGCTGTTCTGCGGACTGATAACTAATTCAGCGCTGCAATCGCAATTAGAGCGATTCTGGATCCAAGAGGAGATTCAAGAAACGAGGAGTCTCACGGAGGAAGAAGCAGACTGCGAACGACAATTTTGCGAGTCGGTAAGGCGTGACAATGGCGGGAGGTTTATAGTGGCTTTGCCGGTGAGACCATCGGTTGTGCTCGGAGATTCAACAACACAAGCAACTAGAAGATTATACTCTCTAGAAAGACGATTTAAAGCAGACCCGGAATTAAAGTCAGCGTACGTGAACTTCATGGAAGACTACGAGAACCAAGGGCACATGTCGCTCATCTCGGAAGATTTTCCAGAAAACCCAGTATACACTTCCACATCAAGCGGTAATTAAACAGGACAGTGTGACGACAAAGCTACGAGTGGTATTCGATGCATCAACGAAGACGGCGACTGGCGCATCCCTAAACGATAAATTATTACCCGGACCAAATCTTCAGAAGGATCTATTAGCTATAATATTGAGATTCAAATCTCATGAATTTGTAATTACAGCAGATATTGCCGCAATGTTTCGGCAGATCATCGTTCGAGAAGAAGACCGAGCTCTGCAGAGAATATTATGGAGAACGTCTCAAACACAACAGATTCGTACATACCAGTTAAATACTGTTACTTATGGCACAGCTCCTGCGCCATATCCAGCAATGAGATGCCTACAGCAATTGGCCGATGAAGAGAAAGTGTTTCATCAAGCAGCCCTTGTTCTAATGTAGGACTTTTATATGGATGACGTGCTGACAAGCGCAAGCACAATAGAAGAAGCAATGGTACTACGACAGCAGTTGTCTCAGCTGCTTCAGAAGGGTCGGTTTTATCTAAGAAAATGGCGCTCGAACGACAATCGCATTTTGGCAGATTTAACCGAAGATAGCGAAACAGATTGCTTGCTGAAGATCGAAAAGGAAGGAGCACTAAAGACGTTAGGATTACGTTGCGACGCGAAGTCGGACACACTGCAGTACAGTGTAACAATCGAAGAACCGCCCAAGGTCACCAAGCGGCTTGTGTTATCAAGGATAGCTCAAATCTTTGATCCACTAGACCTGCTGGGGCCGGTAGTCATCAATGCCAAGCATATAATGCAACAACTATGGCAATCAAAATCGGATTGGGATGAACCCCTTGAACCGGAACTGCAAAAGGTCTGGAACCAGTATTATCATTCACTGCCAAAGATAAATGAAGTACGAATACCAAGGAATGTGAATCCGAACAACGTTGATGGCCAATTCGATCTTATGGGATTCGGAGACGCTTCCGAAAAGGCATTGGGGCATGCCTATACGCCGTTTACAAGAGCTCGGACGGGAACTTAAATTCAGAATTGATTGGCTCCAAGAGCAGAATAGCGCCTCTCAAGAAGATATCGTTGCCGAGGCTCGAACTTAATGCAGCACTGTTACTTGCAAGATTATGTGAAAAGGCGCAAAGGGCCTATGGAGAGAAGATTCGAAGCACACATCTCTGGAGCGACTCGACAATAGTGCTGAGCTGGATAGCTACTTCACCGAGCGTACGGAAAACGTATGTGGCAAATAGGATTACGAAGATTCAAGACTTGACTAGGGAGGCAGTTTGGCTTCATGTACCATCGAAAGATAATCGGGCGGATCTAATCTCGCGAGGTATGACAGTCACCGATTGGGGTTGCAGTAAGTTGTGGTGGCACGGACCAGCATGGATAACCACCAAGAGATGGCCTCAGCCCAAGCAAATCGAGATTGACATGTCAGAAACAAGAGCATCTGTTGTGCTTACATCGGTAAAGAAACCATGTGACCTCTTGAGAAGATATTCTTCATACGAAAGGCTACAAAGGACAATAGCTTATTGTCTACGTTTTAAGGTAAACGCCTTAGGTGGCAAGCTACATGGACCTTTGACAGTAGAGGAGCTTGGCTCAGCTGAAAGGACGATAGCGAGAATGACGCAACAGGAATGTTTTGAGCCAGAGTTGCGTGCATTGAAGAATAATCAATCTGTACCGAAAGGCAGCCAGTTAGCGACACTCGGTCCATTTGTAGAAAAGGATGGCCTCATTAGAGTCGGAGGACGACTATCCCATGCCGACCTACCAAAAGCGCAGAAACACCCAGTACTACTTCCGGCTAGACATCATATCACCACCGTTCTGATGCGGAAAGAACATGTCCGTTTGCTTCAGTGTGGACCAGAGCAGCTATTATGGTCGCTGAGGCAGAGATATTGGCCGTTAAGCGGTAGAAGAGAAGCAAGGAAGACAACGAATAGCTGCTTGGAATGTTACCGGCGAAAGCCCAAAACACCAGAAGTATTCATGGGGGACTTACCTAGTGAGAGAGTGCGTGGATCTTTAAGACCATTCACAAACTCAGGAGTCGATTATGCAGGTCCGCTGCAAGTACGAGAGAGTCGTAGACGAGGACGGGTCCATACATCGAAAACCTGGATTGCCGTCTTCACTTGTTTTACTACAAAAGCGGTGCATTTGGAACTTTTTTTTTTTTTTTTCGTAGGGAAATCCTTTATGGATACCCGGGCCCCCCTCTGGGAAGGGAGTTTACTAATGGCCCGGGTTATGTGGGACTACCCTCCTAGTGTCAATCGGAGTGCACCCAGCATACGTGCCGGGTGCGCGGCCTACCCACTAAAACCCTACGGTGGTCTGCGCGGTGCTTTGATTGGGGGGGTCGGCCGGGACTTGACGGAGTCATTACATCCGCA